AAGGAAAGTGCTATCTAGGAATGTACAGCAGACATCCGAGGATGCACAACGGACAGAGGCTGAGGTCTCTGGGGGAAAGTGTGGATGGCCTGAGGGCAAGAGGGGTTATGAGGGTATTGCGCACGCTGGGGGGGGAAGTGTGTCGCAAAAAGGGGAAGGGTTGACAGAGAGACCTTGGGAGGAAGGGAAAAAGAGGTCTGGTGGAGACGTTGAAGTTGGAGACTCACGTCAGACAAGGGAAGTGCTATCTAAGAATGTACAGCAGACATCCGAGGATGCACAACGGACAGAGGCTGAGGTCTCTGGGGGCAAGTGTGGATGGCCTGAGGGCAAGAGGCGTTATGAGGGTATTGCGCACGCTGGGGGGGGAAGTGTGTCGCAAAAAGGGGAAGGGTTGACAGAGAGACCTTGGGAGGAAGGGAAAAAGAGGTCTGGTGGAGACGTTGAAGTTGGAGACTCACGTCAGACAAGGGAAGTGCTATCTAAGAATGTACAGCAGACGTCCGAGGATGCGCACCGGACAGAGGCTGAGGTCTCTGGGGGAAAAGGTGGAAGGCCTGAGGGACAAGGGTTATGAGGGTATTACGCACGCTGGGGGGGGAAGTGTGTCGCAAAAGGGGGAAACGGCGGTGGGTGACTTGGAAAAAGGTGTGTCTTCAAGTCTAGCAAAAGGGCTGACGCACATCACGGGAGATCGGGGCAGAGAGATGTGGGAGAGTCATGTCTTTGCGAGTCGGGGAAGGAGTCTGACGAATGGCTCGGGGGCAGGAGCAAGGCGCCTAAGCGCAGATCAGAGGATGGCAATGGAGGCAATGGCAATGCCAGGGTTTCACGCGTTAGCGCCGCGAAGTAAGAGGGATGGGGAGGAATACTACTCACGGCGGACAAGTCAAATGCGCAGAAACAGAAGGTCACAGATACCTGACGCGGGTCATTTTTTTTCTCGTACGTCAGGTGATGGGGGAGGCAAAGTGCCCATGAAGGAGGAAGAAAAGCGCAAGAGGGGGCCTGGTGCCCAGGTGGAGGAAGATGGTAGAGGGAGCAGTGCCTCGGACGAGGGTGGTGGAGGGGATGGAGAGTCCCTTGGTGGGCAGCCACCGGGTGGGGGGAAGGTGAGAGACACATCAAGTGCGATCCTTGACTTGTTCCAGTCGCATTTTGAGGGTGATGTGGAGGCCCTCCAAAGTCTGGTGTCCACTGTGGGGGGAGGTGGAAGAGAGGAACCAGCGAGATACAAGAGAAATCTCGATAGGTGGAGGTGAAGGGTAAAAGAGGTGCACAGAATTGCGCGATTGAAAACAAATCTCGACAGGTGGAGATGAAGGGTGAAAGAGGTGCACAGTAATGCGAGATTAAAAACAAATCTCGAGAGGTGAAGGTGAAGGGTGAAAGGGGTGAGAAGTACTGCGAGATTAGAAACAAATCTCGAGGAGTGATGGTGCAGGGTGAAAGGTATTGCGAGATTAAAAACTAATCTCGAGAGGTGAAGGGTGAAAGGGGTGAGAAGTATTGCGAGATTAGAAACAAATCTCGAGGAGTGAAGAGTGGAAGGGGTGAAAAATATTACGAGATTGAAGAGAATCTCGAGGAGTGATGGTGCAGGGTGAAGGAGGTCCCAGGTATTGTGATGACGAAAGGAAATATCGCGGACAGAAGGGAAGAAAGCAGAGCCCAGGACCGGGATCAAAACAGAATCTCGGGGAGGCTGAAATAAAGCGAAAGCAATCATCACGCGAGAGCATCGAAGACGACTCGGAGGGTGGGATTGTTGAGGAGGAGGGGGGCCGATCGGTGGTGCACAACACCGAGGGTGATGGCCTGGCGACGGGGATAGTCTCGTCCAACCACGGTAAGCGACGTTTTTCAGTATCTAAGGAGTATTCCAAGCAGGGTGGAAGTAATTATCCCAAACTGCAAGTGGTTTCGGGTGCTGACAAATTGAGCTGCACGGGTGTCGGCCGTGGGAGCAAGAATGTATTGAGGACTAGTACCCCGCAAGAAATTCTCGGTCGTAGTGTGTCGCAAGATGCACGTGCACAGCTTCAGGAACCAATCACTAGTAAGACACACAGGGATTTTCCAGAAGTAGGGGTGCCGAACACGCCCCCTTCGTCAGATCAAACGAAGTCTAGCATTGGCAGAATGGGAAATGTTACTGACAATGCAACACCAGCGGGGAATGCGTTAAACACTCAAAGGAAGGAAACACGCAAGGCAAATTCTCCGAGAACAGTGAGGTGTCCGCTGTATCCTCAAGCGGAACACACAGTTGGTCGAAATGGAGCCAAAAAGGGGTCGATTAATAGGGACACTAGAAAGGAAAAAAGCGTTACCGTTGATCGTGCTGGCAGCAAGCAGAACCATGAAACTGTTGCTTTACCAGTGATAGGAGAAGAGGGCGTGATAGGGGATGCATCCGCCTCTGAAAAGTCTCTCAAGCGTGAGGTTGAGATAACAGCGCAGGAGGGAGGAAATTTTGGTGAAACACAAGAAGGAACCGATCGCATTTTTGCCGTACAAGTATCTGTCAATTCTGGGTCAGGACAGGGAGTGATGCGGTGTACCCTCCGCCTCCTTTTACGTTTGCTGCAGGTGAAGCGGCGGACTACTTGTCACCACATACTCGGTCGGTCGGTGGGGATTTGACGATGGATCGACATCGGCATACGACTAGAGTGCAAGTGTTCGCGGGGTCGAGAGCGACAAAGATGATGTCGTGGGAGGCTCTGTTGGATACGGGAAGTCCGGCATCGTTTGTACAAGAAAGGTGTGTGCAAAAGATGTTAGCATGTGGTTCAGCTTCAGCTGATAGCATCGAAACAGGACTAAACAAGAAGTGGGGTGGGTTCCATGGGGTGCCGTTGGTTACAGATCGAAGAATGCGATTAAATATTGAAATGTGGAAGGGCGGAAAATCAGCGCCGGTTCATTTCGGTTCACCGACGGTACGGACGAGTGTGTATGCGTACATCGTGCCAGACTCAGCTATGGGACATGATCTGATACTAGGGAGGGATATTTGGGCTGATTTTCCAGTTCGCAGATTCCAAGACGTGTCGGACACAGAAACAATTGTCACTTATGTCGGTGAAAATACTGATAAAGTGGCAGGAGATCACCACTTTGATCAATGGGTGGGTAACGCGGTTGGTATGGTGGAAACGGAAGGTAATGAAAAGGTGGTGGTGAAATCTGATGGTAGTAGACGATGGCTTCCAAATGCANTAACGCGGTTGGTATGGTGGAAACGGAAGGTGATGGAAAGGTGGTGGTAAAATCTAATGGTGGTAGACGATGGCTTCCAAATGCAATGTCATGGGTTGAGGTAAAATTAACCAACCTAGATGGCAGTGACGCTGCGGTGGGGACGTACCGTGTGCAGTTTGGGAAAAGTGGTTCCCGCAGGAAGCATTGGTGGAAAATGGCACGTCGGAAATTCCTCTCAAAAGAGTGGGAGATAGCTCGTGTCTGGTGAACCCAACGATATTTTGGGGTATGGTGGTGAACCGCTGGAAGTGGTATATTTGGATGATGCTCGTTTGGTGGAAAATGAGGAATTCAAAAATGTATTTGCGGTTAAGGAGGGTGAAGAGGCTGACGTGCCCAACGACGAACCTCCCGCGAATGTTATGTCTTCTTTGAATGGGGCGCAACAGGTGGCGTTCAAGCGGTTGTGGCAAAGGGTGCCTCCGCACATTCGAGACGTCCATTTCGACTTCAATGCGAAACTGTGGGAGGCAGAGGACATTGACAAACTAGGTGATTTATTGTGCAAGTTTGAGCATCGTTTTTCAAAGGGTGGTTCGGATTTAGGACGGGTGACGGTGGATCCGTTTCGAATCATTTTGAAGCCGGGGGCACAGCCAGTGCGGCAGAGGCCATATCGCTATTCGCCGGTTATGAACGAAAAGGTGCAGATCGAAATTGACAAATTGCTGTTGGCGGGTGTGCTGCGGCGATCATACAGCAATTGGGCAAGTCCGTTGGTGGTAGTCGCAAAAGCTAACGGTGGTGTGCGGTTGACGGTCAACTACAAGCGCATCAATAAAATGAGCGTAATCCCGAAATTGCCCATTCCGATAGTGGAGGATATTTTGGTGGAATTGGACAAATCGAAAATCTTCAGTACGCTGGACTTGGTCAGTGGGTTTTTCCAGTGCAGTATTGAGGAGGACAGCATTCCGATCACTGCTGTTATCACGTCTACGGGGTTGTACGAATTTTTATCCGTGCCGCAAGGTCTCAGTAGTAGTCCTGGGTGGTTTCATTCGGTGATGGCCAGAGTATGTGACGGACTGGAACGTGTGCGTCTGTTTATCGATGACGTGATCGTTTTTTCCAGGGACGGGGCAGAACACGTGCGCGACCTGGAGAGGTTTTTCGAGCGTATGGTCAAGTTCAACCTGAAACTGGCACCCAAGAAGACGAACCTGGGGGTGAAGGTGGTGACGTTCTTGGGGCATCAAGTCACGGCGGAAGGGATCGGGCCGGACCCGGAAAAGGTCAGACCGCTGCGTGAAGTGCCAATGCCCACTAATGTTAGCCAGCTACGATCGTTGTTGGGGTCTTTGTCGTACTATCGGAAGTTCCTGAAGAACATGTCGGCAAAATTGAAACCGATCAATGCAATGCTGAAAAAGGGAGAGAAGTTTGCGTTCACGGCTGATCATGTGGCGGTGGTAAGGAAGATGATGGATATTCTGTCTGGTCCTACGGTCTTGGCATTTCCGTGTTATGAGGGTGCGATATCGGGAGAGCGGCCGTTTCGGCTAACCGCTGATGCGTCGATTTCGGGCTTGGGAGCCGTAATTGAGCAAGAGCAACGAGATGGGAGTATTAGACCGCTATGCTTTTTGAGCCGATCCACATTCCCGAATGAAACCAGATGGAGTCCGACTGAGCTGGAAGCGGGTGCGATAGTGTGGGCGATTAAGAAGAATCGAACACTATTTTATGGCATCCCCTTTGAAGTGTACAGTGACCATCAACCCTTGCGAAATTTGGGGAGTTTGGCAGAGAAAAACAATCGCGTACAGAGGTGGTATGACTTCCTGTCAGCGTACACGTATGAACTGAAGTATCGACCAGGGCGAGAGAATGCAAATGCCGATTTGATGTCACGGTTGCCATTGCCTGCGACGAAAGAGGATGAGGCACCAGATGTCAGGCTGACTGATCCGTCTGATCTTGATGTTTATATGATAAATGCGAGCGGGGTGCTACCTTCGCGATTGGATCCGGTGTATACCGAGCGAGAGGCGCTCGCTGGGTCGAACCATCGCGATGATTTCGTGGTGGGGGAAAGTGGCTGTACACCGGCAAGCCTCACTACGGATGAACTGGCAGACAAGACGTGGGCGCTGATCCAAAGGGGGAAGGGCGTGTCCAACCCTTTGCCTGATGGTGCGTGTGTGCCTGATGACACCCGGTTGGTGGAACCGAGTGGGGAAGTAGTCAGTGGTCAGTTTGAGCCAGGGCTGATATTGCATGCGGTTCCTTTAACGGAAGTTGGCAGACGCTTGTTGGGATTGGTGGAAAAATCGCGAGTTTATGCTATTTCTCAAGGAGGGGGCAGTGCCTCTGGTGGTGATGATGGTAGTAGCAGTAACGCTCGTGGGAGTGGGACTGTTGCTGGTGGTGGGGGTAAAAGTAACGCTCGTGGGAGTGGGACTGTTACTGGTGGCGGGGGTGGCAGTATTGCTCGTAGTAGCAGGGCTGTTGCGTGTGGAAGGGGTCGAGGAAGAGGGGCTGGTGGTGGTGGTAGGGGAAGGGG